AAGGGATTAGAGGTTATGGAAGAATTAGGAACAGAAACATTAATAATGAGCAGGAAAAGAAGAGAGTAATCAGGAGGACAGTAGATAGTAATGAACATTGCATTTACGTTTTTGCAAAATAAAGTTGGAGCTGGTAGGGAGTTCCACAAGCGAGAAGTGCGGGAAAAGAAACTGTTAGTATAGAACTTTCGATTACATTCAGCCAGCTTAACTGTAAATTGATGAGATCTTGATGCTAGTTTAGTTTTGCGCTTAAATTCAAAAAGTCTAGGTGTCATAGCGAAGAGCACATCCGAGTACTTATCATGATTTATAGAAGAGGCACAGAGAGGCAACTTTATAGCGGTGTGAAAGTAACTGCATCCGAGGTGCCAGATTTGGGCCAATAATATTGCTTTGGATTTTATCAAGGAGCGCAAGGTAATTAACAAGGGCACCAGACCATATGGTGTCTCTGTTAACGCGACGCTCTTTATTAAATGAATTGAGCATTGTGGTTGTCTGGTGTTTGTTTACATTTGTAAAAATAATACGCTAGAGTTTCCCTTGACCTCTGCCCTGCGCTGATAGCTCAGGGGTAGAAACTTTGACTGATGCTAAATCCATCGGGTTTCGATCCCGGCTAGCCGCACTGATGAGCTGGGATATAGTGAAACAGGCCTGTATGTGGATGACATTATATATATATAATACATTTTTTCTTCATACCTCTGTGTTGACAAAGCCAATAAGTAAGTCGTATTGACCGAAATAGCTATTCAAATGAGGTAATTTGGGATTTCCACTCTCTGTAATATATATATATATATATATATATATATATATATATATATATATATATATATATATATATGTATGTGTGTCTGTGTGTATATACCATTTACCTTCGAAATACGCCATGAATATGACCTTTTAGCTGTGCTCAACATTAGAAGAATGTGTCCACGGTTAGATTTAAAACCACAATGGTGGAAAGATATAAAATATTCTTTACATGCTTGTTTTTGTGTTGATGCTCGAACTATGTTTGAATTGACAGAATTGGGTATTTAAATATCGTCTTTACTAAATAAGCCAAGTTATAATAAAAGCTCTATTTCCTGATAGGTGGCGTCGTTGGAAATAAATCTTTGTTCGTACTTATCTCATTAGGGAATGATATAATAACCATCATTTGCAGGTAGGTCATTTAAAAGCATGGGTTTGCAATTAACCGAGGCAGTACGAGTCATTCGCTACGGAATGAACGTCTTTTCTCTCGATCAACAAGTATGCGCGCATGTGTGCACACATACAGACAGAAACACCTCCCCACATATATATATATATATATATATATATATATATATATATATATATAGACAACAAGGATTCATTTAAACCAGTTTTAAATTTAACTGACAAAATCTGTTTAACTTTTTATTGCTTTTTTTGCATTTTGAAAAATTTGTTGCACATCGTGATCAAAATTATCGATAATGATTGAATGTATTCGACCTAAAACAGAGCAAAAAACATGAACTTGTGCAGTTTACTTACAATTTGTGTGTATATATATATATATATATATATATATATATATATATATATATATATATGATAAAGTATAGATTTAAAGTATGCTATATTTGTGACTTAAAGTGCTCAATATATGGGATAGAGCGTATATATATATATATATATATATATATATATATAGGTCAGTGATGCATTGTGGTTAATCTATTGTGTTTAATTGTGAGTAGTCTATTCTATTTTTATAACGGTTATTTTGTTGGGCGGTAACAGTTATGTTCCGAATTATTCTAGGGGCTACTGAGTGGGAATAATTGTGGATCCGAATGAAATTTTTTGGTTAATTATAGTGTTATCTATTATTGATTATTTTGTTGTTGGATATCATTACAACTTTTTCTTGTGTTAATCTGTGCGCACGTGTTTTGTAATTTGTTTATTAGTTACTTAGTTTATTTACTTGTTTATTTGTTTGGATCAATTTATTTTACTTATTTTTCTTTATTTATTTTCGTTTATTCGTGTTCGTTTTCAGTTTTCGATTGTTTTAAGTAATGTAGTAAAAATTTGTTTTTGTGTTTGCATTTTTGAGTTCTGATCATTTAGTAGTTTGTGTTGGTCTGGGAAGGTAATCATTTTTTCTCCAGGTAGTCTTTACTGTTTTGGTATTGGTTTTTGTAGGCTGATATTGTTTTCCTTATTTTCCATGATATTTTTGGTGTGATTTGTTTTTGTTTTTGTGAGATTAAAAACAAAAGTCCACTGTGTGTTGACTTCAATGTCCATTTATATATATATATATATATCTCTGTATATATATGTGTGTGTGTGTGCGCGCGCGCGTGTGTGAAAATGAATAACATGATGGAAAATGTATTAGCGTGTTGTTCAAAGAATGTGATGAAGAAAAATACATTGAAAATACATTGAAAATACCTTTAATATCCTATTTCATATATAACACAAGGGGAAAGCTTACAAAATCCACAAAAGGAAAAAGATGCTAACACAAATCACCTTAATAAAACTCGGTGCAAATAATACCTACTAATTCAATAGCGACTACAATTGAACAGAATTTATCAAATAATCATGTAAAATGTGTCACAATGACTTAAAAACAATAAGAAATTTAATCAACGCAAAAGAAAATAATTACATCACAAAACCTGAAGCATGAATTTACAAAATGAATGTTTCGTGAAATACATTGGCAAGACATCTAGAAAATTCCATCCATATAAGAGTGTTTTTTTTTTTACAAAACAATGCACTCACTGCCTTAGTTGTTCATTGAAATCGGTTTGACCATTATTTCGACTTAAAGAATGCGGTTCCGATTAAAATAGAAATAAATTTATTTAGGTGAAATGTGTTGAATCTGCACTAATTTAGGGATCATCTACGACAAATTTACATCCAAGAGAAAACAATATATCAGCTTTCTTCACAAAATTACTATTAATAGGTTATGATATAATTAAAAACACAGATGCTAAAAGCAAAAGCGATAAAATCCTGAATGAGAGAGGCTAAGTTATTTAGAATTTAGATAAATGTTACAATTCAAATTTAAAGGTTGGACATCTTTGCGTTTTTAAGTTTTAATGTTAACTGTTACCGGCGTTTGTTGTATTTCTCTCTGCAACTGACTTTTTTTTTTTAATGAGGATGATTCTGTAAAAAAAAAAAAAGTTATTTGTCTGAAGAAGTTCATTTTTTAAACGAAACGCGTCACAAATTACACCTACAAACTCAAACACACACACACACACACACATATATATATATGAATGACACCCCCCATCATCAAAGGGTAGAGAAACCGAACTACCAGACTACTCGCACAGATGATTTGATTATAGTAGTGAAGGCTTGTGCAGAACCAAACACGCTTTTCGGAAGAACCAAATTCAGAGAACTGGTGCACATGTGTGTGTATGTGTGTGTGTGTGTGTGTGTGTGTGTGTGTGTACTTTTAGTTTATATATATATATGTGTGTGTGTGTGTGTGTGTGTGTGTGTGTGCCATCGATAATTTTATTACTTCAAGCATTATTATAAATGACCTGTTTTTATTTTAAATAGTGTGTATTAAGTCTATCTGCCTGAGCATTCGAGAAAAAAATATAAAATTTGCTCTCCGGCAGGGTTCGAACCTGCGCTCCCCTTTGTAGAAGAACCCATTTTTTCATCCGGTGTGCTTTCGAATGTTCGGCCACAGAAAGCGTCAAAGCCCAGCAAGGTTCTATTTATCCGTTTAGGGAAAGCACACTTCCTCGTTCAATTTTTTTTCTCGAAAGTCCCTATCTACTCAGAAACGTAAGCAAAGAAATTTCTAAAGAATTAGTGCATGCATGTATGTGGGTATGTGTGTGTGTGTGTGTACTTTTTATCTTACATATATATGTGTGTGTAATCGAAAAGTTATGAGAATTTGAACAGATTGGCCAATTCACTATATCTCTTAAATTCATTAACCATGAACTTTTATTCACTATCTATTTATATTTTTCCTCAATAGGAGTAGATAGGTTTGTCTGTTGCCCGGTTCATACTCTTTCCCGGTCTTTTCAACAGGAATTGAGTTTTATCCTTTGTATCCTGTTTAGGATAGCGTTTCCGGTTCCCTCTGAAATTTTCCTTCTCTTTCAATTCTGGTGGACTCTTGTGTCTTGGTGGCACTCGCTTGCGGGTGTTGTCACTTACTCTGTAATCCTCTACCTCAAAAGACTCTTAGGCCTTATACAAGGTGAGGATCATTGTAAAAAAAATATGAAAAATGATATAAACAACCTCATTTTCTATCAATATTTTTTTGTGTTTAGTGAAGCCATTTTGTGTCTTAAGTAACCTGAAATTTTGGATAGCCCCAGTGCTATGATTGATATTTAAGTATGTACATATGTTGTGTGAATATGCGTGCCTTCGTATCTGGTTTGAAATACAATAGTATGTTCATCCTTAAACATAGAAAATGTATAAATAGGTAATTACCGATTGACTAAATTCAGTCTTCTGTTTCTTCCTATAAGCGTAAATATAAATGTTCGCTCTGTAGGACTCGTCCGAGTTTAAAAATAATAGGAAATTACGTATTCTAAGGGCACATTCGCGCATGCGCGTATACACATACACGAAATAGGTACGAGCACATACATGTTTTTGTGTATACATATGTGATATAAGATGTATATGAGATTGACAGGGTTAATTCGTATTCTACGGCTTATCAAATCTTTGCAGGTTATTTAAAGCCAGAAAATATTTCTTAGAATGTATTTTTCTTTGCGGGTGGATATACTAATTCTTTAGGGATAGAATCTTATTTATTAACCCATAGCTAGGGGAGAAGAGGTGGATTCATACCTTTCCCAAGGGTATTTGCGTGTAAGTGAATATAACGAATCCAACTGGAATTGGAACCCGGCTCACCGATTAACAATTCTGAGCCATTATCCATTACACCAGCTGCACAAACAAACTTACAGCACCTGATATTCCTAAGAGGTCACCCATCTAGGTACTGACCAGTCTTGACGTTGCTTAACTTCGGTGATCGTACAGGTTTTTTTTTTATACAGGACAGAGTTGGATCAAGAAACATCGATAAAATATAATGTAATATATAACATATTTGCTTATTAAATTAAATACAATAAAAACGTTTTAAGCAAAGATTCTGTTTCTCTTTTTCTCTACAACTATTTTTATAATTTTTATTGAATTCTTTTTTTTTTTTACTTGTATTCTCTTCATGAAGAGTCTGAACATACATGTTGATGTACAAAATAATGCCATCTATCTATCTATCTATCTATCTATCTATCTATCTATCTATCTATCTATCTCTCTATCTATCTATCTATCACAGCTTGTTCGTTATGTATGCATGTATGTCTCTATCTATCTTTCTGACCATGAGACCCGGGTTCGAATATTATCACGGTCGATTTGTCAGGAAAGAGACTTCCTGATATTATCGGCTGGTAGGGTGGGGGTCGATCCCAGCGTGCGGCACCTTTGGAAAGTGCCTAAAAATCATACCATGGGTTGACCCAAGCCTTGTAAATGAAATTGAGTAGACGGAACCTTTGGCGTTTATCGATAGCTATGTTAACATTAAGTCACAAGTCACCGTGACCGAGGGTTTGAGTATGCTGGCCTTGAGCAGATTGTTGATCACGTTAGGTAACACACTCTCTTCCAGAAACTGTAACTAAGGCCTGCTCAGCATAGTTGCAGTATAAGCCACAGGTTGACTCTGTGGGTGTTGAATAAACACAAATGTGCCTGAGCGAGCGTCTGCAATAGGGATTGGCTAGCCGACCTGATAGACGGATATCCTCGAATACAAGTGGCCATCTATCTATCTATCTATCTATCTATCTATCTGGGAGAACAGAGAAGTGGGAAAAGCGCGTAATATTTATTAACAACTCAATTAAACTCATTTCGCTCTAAACAGCGAAATGAGTTCAATTTTGGACGGAGGTTGTCCATGTTTTCTTTGCAGGAATGCCCAAGTAACGCTCTTCTCCTTGAGTTCTTATCTCACTGTCAAATATCTTGAGAAAATGTCTCGTCCCTACAGGGTGGGTAAGCTACACTTTCATAATTACATTACTAGATTAGGTAGTAACATACAGCAGCAAAAGATGTTACGTCATAGCGACATGGCTAGAGAATAATAATAATAATAATAATAATAATAATAATAATAATGTATAAACTTCATCCAGAACCAATCATAGAAGGGCATGAAGTCACTATTCTTTGGAACTTTACCATTTATACAGATAAAGCTAAGAAACCATACATTGTAATTTAAGACTACAAGCAAAAATGTTTTCTCGTTGATATAGTAGCGCCATCAGATAAAAATATATCTGTTAAATAATATGAAAAAATCAGTAAATATAAGTATGTGGCACCTTAAAACTACTGTTATAAGTATAAAAATTCGAGCCGTGTGTACGTTAAAAAACATACAGACAAGAACATTAACATGATAAATGTTTACAAGAGATTCAAAAACGTTGCACTGTATGGAACAGCTCGTCTACTTGGGAGTGGATTATGAATGTAAAGAAATGATAAACATTGGATATGTTAAATATCACTTAACATCAGAATTTGTGCAAACAGAACGCATATATTTACTATGTTGCCTTATCACAGATCTCACTATTGAACTGTACAAAACAGAAATAATAATAATAATAATAATAATAATAATAATAATAATAATAATAATAATAAATCAAAACAGTAGTAAATCAAAACAGAAGCCAAGAACCAACTATTGCAGCAAAAGATATGAAAAAGAAAGCCAAGGATAAAGCCCTTGAACAGATGAAACAACGCTGGCAAGACAAACCTCTGCATGGCCAATATCCAGAACGTGCAAATAAACCCAATGTTGATAAAGTTAATACTCATCGATGGTTACGAGCATCTGGATTAAAATCTGAAACTGAAGGCTTTATTCTTGCAGCGCAAGACCAGAGTCTTTTCACTAGGAATTTTCAGGCAAATATCATACATAATAATGTGGATCCAAAATGCAGGTTCTGTGACAAATACCAAGAAACAATAGACCATCTAATCTCAGGATGTTCTATACTTGCCCCAAATGAATATAAAAATCGTCACGATAGAGTGGGGCAATACTTACACTGGACAATGTGCAAACACTTTGGAAAATGTGTAAGCAAACACTGGTATGAACATCGGCCAGCGCCGGTTACAGAAATAGAAGATGTCACCATTCTATGGGATTATACCATCCACACAGACAGAAAAATTGAAGCAAATAGGCCGGACATTATTGTCAAAAACCAGAAAGAAAAAAACTTGCCTACTAATTGATATGGCTTGTCCAGCGGATTGTAACATAGCAACCAAGGAATTTGAAAAACTATCAAAATACAAAGACCTGGAAATTGAAATAGAAAAATGTGGAAATTGAAAACAAGAATAATACCAGTGGTAATAGGTGCACTTGGAATTATAAAAAAATGGAACAAAACAACACACTGAAAGAATCCTGAAACCCCAGCTTAAGAGACATACAGAAAATTGTCTTATTAAGTACAGCACACACACTAAGGAGAACTTTGTCTATGTAACGCTAGCAACTTCATCGGAGATAAAAAAAAAAAAAAAAAAAATTAACATGAAATGTGGCCATAACAACACACCACGACCTGCCTTAGGTCTTTCCGCAGACTTGGTAGGTAGTGTGTCCATAGCAGAAATCGAATGATGATGATGATGACAATAATTATAATAATAATAATAATGAGGAAAAGACGAGGAAAGAAAAAAGGATCGATTAACTGGAGATGAGAGGTAAATTTATGCCCGCCCAACGACAGCGCTGCTAAATACGCTAGAATACGAAGAAGTCTTGAAATATTAGAGAGATCGACTGTGACGAATTCCAGCAAAATCTATGTTACTATTGGCATGAAAACCCTAACTAGGAGGCACGCACGCACACACACACACACACACACACACACACACACACACACACACACACACACACACACACACACACACCTCAAGCGGTCATCGTATATTCATGGTGTGAAAATCATTTGAGGTATGAAACTAACATGCAGTGGAGACCTATGCGCGCGCGCACACACACACACACACACTATATATTTATCTATCTCTCTCATCAAGAAATGTGAAAAATTTCATGGAACTCCGAGTACAGATTGATATAATTATTTCATTCTGTTACTAACAAATTCTCTCACTCCTCCTCCTCTCCCCCTCTCTCTCTCTTTCTGTCTGTCTGTCTCTCTCTCTCTCTCCTTCTCTCTCTATATGTATATATATATATATATATATATATATATATATATATATATATATATATATATAATAAAAAAAAAAGCAGTAATATATATAATCCGGTGTTCTTATTGATATTTTTTATTTTTACAAAATAGTGTAAATTAACAGAGCATAATATAAATTAACTGATTTAAAATATGTTTTTTCGCTTATTACAGTAATAAAATGGAACTAATGCTTTTAATTTAATTACAAAATTAAATTTGAAATTTTAGCTTCCATTTTGAAACATGGTTATTACTGTGTAGCGGAAAAACATTTTAAATCAGTTAATATATATATATATATATATATATATATATATATAGAGAGAGAGAGAGAGAGAGAGAAGAGAGAAAGAGAGAAAATTACTTTTCATTCTCAACAGACGGGAAAATGACATAAAGCAAAATAGCTGACAGACTAGTCAGGTTTTCGAAGGGAAAGGAAGAAAGAAAGAATTTAAAGCTGGTAATGGAAGTTAACGGAATAAAAAAAAATGAATCAGCAAGAACGTGTTTGCAAAATATCTTGACATATCAATCGAGTAAAATGATTAATCATTTACAACATTCTTTACGAAATCCTTTGAAAGGACAACTTACATTGAACCAACTTTAATGTAACTTGTTCTTTTTAACGGATTATTACACTCATTACAAAGGATTATTACTCTCATTGCAACGAGCACTCACCTGTTGGGAGAAACATTTTTATTTCTGCTTTTACAAAAAGACGCTACCCATTTTATTTCATGAAAAAAAAAACATCTCGATCATACATGTTATAACGAGCGTTTGGTTGCAAAGGAAAGAAACAAACAGGGATTCAATTTTTAACAGTGAGTATTCATCAAAATTAGGAATATATATATATATATGTTTGAAAGGTGGCAAGAATTGTCCAGCTGTGGGTCTTCAATTGCTTTTGGTGAAGAAAGCGATTAGGTGTAAGGGGAATTATCGGTAGAACTGGGAGGTCACCGATTTCTTGGATTGGTTGGTCGAGGTTAGAGTTGGTGTCAGATGACAGATCTGGAGCGGATTAGCTATTGGTGGGGTTTGACGTACGCCCTTCTTTGGGGTAGAAATCGAAAACTGCGAGGTGTTTGATAAGCTGGCGGTGGTGCGATGCCGAGATGTTAAAGCCGAACTGCCTGGTAAGGTGGATTGGTGGGTTGGTCGATCGTAGTCACGGTGCTGAGTTGATTAAGCGGTAAGCCGAGTTGGTTGCTGAGGTTATATATATATATATATATATATATATATATATATATATATTAAAAGAAGAGAAGAGAGGTGCCGCAAACATTTTTAGTTGTAATATGGATTTTAAAAAAAAATATTATGCTTTATTTACCATAATTTTACTACACGTGTTTCTGGTCTGGCGACCGTCTTCAGGTAAAAAGCGTAGGTAGATTTTCACATATTATTAAAATAATTAATTTTTTCCGTATGTTTTTCAATGTTATGCATCAAGGTATATATATATATATATATATATATATATATATATATATATATATATATATATATTTATATTGATGCATGTTTCATTAAATAATATAGACAAGTTTTGTCTATTTATTTTAACTAAGTTCCTTCCATATTGTCTGGTAAGGTTAATGACATTATCATTGAAAGACGAAATATTGATACATGCTTAAATCCTATCAAAGCTTTGTAGAGTCAAGCGTTGTGAAAGCGAGTTTGT